CCTCCCACATATACTCTACACCAACTACACTACATTTCTCACTTTATTTTGCATCTCTCACTCATTTGTATTTGTGCACATGCTTTCCCCTTCCTTTCATCTAGTAAATTCCTGCTGCTGTCTTGTAAAACTCAGTTTTACATGTGACTGACCTCCTTAGTGAAGATAGTCACTCCTTCAGTGTTCTCAAAGTCCTTCGTCCATACTTATTTATATATTACCTTTGTGTACATTTGTCTTTTTGGAGGGAAAACGATTTAATCCTGGCATGTATTCCCACTTCTGCCAAAAGGGGAGGATGTTTGTTGATTTGACTCATATCAGCTCCTCCATTTGTCTGGACGTCTCAGCTTTCACAATAGTAACTAGTTTATTGACCACTTACTTCATGCCAGGTACTTAATTAGATGCTTCAAAAACTTTATTTCATGTAATTTTCACACTAACTGTGAAATAGTTATTAATAGCTTCATTTTACAAGTGAGGAAGCAGGCATAGAGATAGGTAAGTAACTTGTTCAAATTACACAGTGGAGTCATAAGTGAACTCAGAACTAATTGAAGACCATGCTTTTTTAGTTACAGTGCTCTTCTAAAAATGAAATGTAAACAGGTAGCACATTTCCCAAACTTAGGATCTTAAAACTGTGTGAAACTTTGATTAATCACTAATCATTCTTAGGAATGTGAACCATAACAAGTACTATTGTGAAAAGTTATTTAAAACTGTTCTTGGAATAATGCGTTTCCAGTGATTTTCAAAATTTTTCTTTCTTCTCATTCTGCCATTGGTGAGCTTCATTTTCCTTTCACTGTCAGAAGGTGTTGCTTCATGTCTATTGATAATAAAATTCACTTTCCATTTATCCAATGAATATTTTTTATCATATGCCAGACACTGCTCTGTACAAAACTGAACTGGACTGACAAATCCCTGCTTGTGTGGGACCTGTTTTCTGCTGGAGAACAAACACTAAACTCACGGATTATGATTATGATACGTGCTATAAAGAATGACAAGGGGTGAAGTCACCATGAGTGATGGTGGCAGTAATGCTGTTTTTGATGGGGTGGTCAGAAGCAGCCTCTTGGAGAGGGTGACATTTGTGTTTAAATTTGAGACCTAAACACTGAGATGAAGCATCTCTGCCAAGAGACAGGAAAAGCGCAGTGCTGCAAATGCAAAGGCCATGGGGGAAATCAGCTTGGCAAGTCTGAGAGATAGAAAGCCACGGAGGCTGAATAGTGGGCTAGGAAAGGAGTGGCAGAAAATGAGATTAGAGACGTAAGCAGTGATCAGATTAAATGAATCCTTGGCGACTATGATGAAGAGATTGGATTTTATTCTGCATGTGAAGAGGAGCCATTGGAGAGTGTAAAGGACATGATTTGACTTAAATTTTGAAAAGATCACTTGGCTGCTTTGTGGAGAATGAATTGTACAAGAGTCAAGAGTGACCAGGGCGGAGGCTAATGCAGAGGTTCTGGTGAGCAGTTGATGATGGCTTCAACAAGAATAAAGTGATAGAGATGGACAAAATTGGGCAAAATTGGGATATTTTGGATGTGGTATTGATAGGTCTTGCTGGTTAGTTACATGGGGTTATGAGAAGAAGAGAAAAGTCAAATATAACTTCCAAGATGGGAAAGAGTGGAGGGTGAGCAAATTTGGAAAGGGAATTCAGAGTTCCGTTTTTGCCTTCCTGATCATACTATCCACAACGGATACCACTATTCTGAATTTTGTGTTTTTTCTCTGCCTTTTCTTTACAGTTTTTGCCACATAGGTATGTGACCTGAAATGATAAGATGGCTAATTTCCATGTTTTAAAATTTTGTATAAATGGAATTATACTGTATATATTCTTGTGATTTTTTTTAACTATTCAGCATTGTTTTTTTTTTCCTGCCCTGTGTGAACAAATCAGCATTGTTTTTTAAAAGCCATTTGTGTTGATGAGGAAGTAGGCATAATGAATTACCAAATGTTAATTTCCATTGCTGTGTGCCATTTTATTTTATGAATATATTGTAATTTGTCCAATTGCCTTTCTTAGATGTAAGGGCTTCTCCACACTACACTCCCTCTGCCCCCCGCCCGCACCGGCAATTCCCCCAGGGTTTTTGCAGTTTTAAGCAATGCTGTTGTTATGGACATTCTTTTACTTGTTTCCTGGTACACACTACAAGTTGCTGTGCAAGTTCCTGTAGAGTTTTATACAGAGAAGTGGAATCGCTAAATCATAGAGTATGTGCGTCTTCAACTTTACTAGACAGTAATAAATTGTTTTCCAAGGTGTTTGTACTGATTGATACTCCCAGTGGCTACATTGCCAGTTTCTATTCTTCTGCATTTTTTTCAATACTTGATATTGTCGGAGTTTTTAAGTTTTGCTGATTTGTTTTTTTTGGTATTTCATTGAGATTTTAATTTTTGTCTCCGAAAATTATTGAACGTGAGCATCTTTTACATATGTTAACCATTTTAAATTTTATCTTCTATTATTTGTTTATGTCTTTTGTCCATTTTCCTATTAGATTGTCTTCTTCTTACTGTTTTTAAGAGTTCTCTATATTACATGTGTTGCAAATATCTTTTTTCCGGTTTTTGGCTTGTCCTTTCATGTTTTTAATGTCTTTTGACGATCAAAAGTTTTTCTTTTTTTTTTTTTTTTGAGACAGGATCTTGCTCTGTCACCAGGCTCGAGTGCAGTGGTGCGATCTCTGCTCACTGCAACCTTCACCTCCTGGGCCCAAGTGATCCTCCCACCTCAACCTCCCAAGTGTCTGGGACTGCAGGCACATGCCACCATGCCCGACTGATTTTTTTGTAGAGGTGGGTCTTGCTATATTGCCCAGGCTGGTCCTGAACTCCTGGGCTCAAGTGATCCTCCTGCCTTGGCCTCCCAAAGTCCTGGAATTACAGACGTAAGCCACCATGCCTGGTCAAGTTTTCATTTGACTGCTCAACTTTTTGTTAATGGATTTTTAAAATGTTTTCTTTATGAAATATTTCCCTAAATCAAGATCATAAAGTTCTCTTCCTATTAGAAGAATTAACTTATTTTTTTCTCAAGGAGATAAAGTTTGCTTTCATATTTTGTGTGGAGGTGAAGTTTTTGGTAAGGATTCAATTTCATCTTTTCTCAGATTGTTATTCACTGTCCTAGCACCAATTATTGAATAGCTTAATGTTTTTCTACTGATCTCTATGCTACTTCCCTGCCATATTTACATGGGCATGTTTCTGGGCTCTGTTTTCTGTTTCATTGGTCTATTTTTCTTACCCCGGGTAAGAATACAGTTGATTCTTGTTATTTACAGTACTTTTATAAAGTTGCCATGAACAGTGAGTTAGTGAATATGGAAATTGTTACTCCTAGGGGAAATATAGGTTCCTGTGAGCCTCTGATCATAACATTTTGTCAAGTAATCAATAGATAATTTTGTTTTATATTAGTTTCTGTGTAAATATATTTAATATGTATCATTGATTCGTTAACATTGAATTCACTGCAAACAGCCCTACATTCATGCCTGAATAAAGTGATCTAATTGTGTATTTTCTCCATAAGGCATATTGCAGCTTCCTTGTGCGTTCGAAACACTAGATGGCATTTCAACACTACCCTTGGGGACCACTTAAATAGTGAAGTCACCAACCAAAAGCACGAAAATATGAAAAGCATGGCACTGAATAGATCATGGAAAGGACACTTGTTTATATTATGAAAGCTGAAACAAGAAGGCGTAGTGCCACCTTGTTCTACCTCAGCAGGGAGCATACACGTTGAACAACTCAGATTTTTTGTTACTTTGTGCTTATCTGCAAATGACGAAAATGCTGCAAGTGTTGATTTTGTGGTAACGAGTACTTTTTGGCAAGTAGGGAAAATTGCAGATAGGGAATTTGTGAAGAATGAGACTCAACCTATGAAATACTGGGAGAGAGGCGGTTTTTTAGGAAACTTAGCATTAGTACTTTCCCCTCTCTGTCATATTTACACATATCTTTATAGCATTTTATTTTAAGAGAATAATGCTATGAATCTTTCTAATACTAAGTGTTCTGATAGATGCCATTATGTCAATAAAGAGACTTCTTTTTTGAGAATACCTTTATTTATAATCATGTTATTATTTAGTTCATAGGTAAATTGAAGCAAATAATTGTAGGAAATAATTGCAACTCTTAAAATGTTGAAAACAAGTCTAAACTATTAAACTTTTATTATATGAGAGTTGTATTACAATATTTTCTCATAGGCATTATTAATAACTTAAGGCATAAGTTTTATAAAGGGAAATACCATTTGGAGGTTGAAATTTAAATATTGGCTCTATTAGTCCCTCATTAGTGACAATTTTCCTCATGACCATTGATAAAGGATTCCAAGAAAAAGATGAATGAAGATTGTATACATCGTAAATCAGATCTCCCACTAAATGTATTTATTGAGACTTGGCTGTTTTATCCCTCATGATTTAAGATCCTCAAGTGAATTATTTGCATTAATTTGATAAGTGCTGAGAGTAAGAATCAGAAATGGTAGACCTCACCTATGTTCATCTTTTTTATATAGCATACACTATATTCCTGTGTTTTTCAAAAATGTTTATTTTATAGTAAAATGTACATAACATAAAATTTATCATTTTAACCATTTTATAGTTTAGTGGCATTAAGTACATTCACATTGTTGTGCAACCATCACCATCAATCAGCTTCAGAATTTCTTCTTTTTCCAAACTGAAGCTTTGTACCTATTAATTAATAACTCCCCATTCCTCATGCCTTCTGGCTCCTGACAGTCACCATTGTACAGTCTCAGTGAACTTACCACTCAAGTTACCCCGTGTAAGTGGAATCATACACCATTTGTTCTTTTGTGTCTAGCTTATTTCATTTAGCATCATGTCTTCAAGGTTCATATATGTTGTAGCATGTGTCAATTTTTTTTTAAAGCTGATAGTATTCCATTGTATGGATCTGCCACATTCTGTTTATCCATTTATCTACCTTTTGACTATTGTAAATAATACTGCTATGAACATTGGTGTACAAATAGGTTTTGACTCTTGCTTTTGATTCTTGGGTAGATTCCCAGAAGGGGAATTGCTGGGTCATATAGTAATTCTATGCTTAAGTTTTTGAGGAACAATCGTATTTTCCACACCAGTTGTACCATTTACATTCCTACCAGCAGTGCACATATATTCATCTTGAGTTACTGAGCAGCACCTATTGTTCTGAAGTATGGCATAAATTATTAACTCTTGCATATGAGTTGTATAGTATGGGTACAAAAATCATATATTCAGTATTAAATCTTTTGTGGTTGTGGTTTTTGCTGAATAATTTAACTTGCAGTGGCAAATATGTCTGACTGCAACATGATGGCACCTCTTTTGGATCTCCGTGGAGTAGATAAAATTATGTATTCTAGCTGTAGCTATGAAGAATTTTTGTTTCTAAAGTACTTTGATTTCAGAGTTTATTAATAAACCTACTTTTCATATTACATAAAATATATTTGGTATGCACAATCAAAAGTGATTAGAAAACCTACTGATTAGCACATTTATGGGGTGTCAGTTATATGCAAGGTTCCAGTATATGATAGATGCAAAGAACCATTAGGATATGGTTATTACTCTCAAGAGCTGTACACTTTGAAGACACAAGACAAACACATGAAAGTTACATACCTACACATGAAAAATAAGGGTATATTATTTAAAATGAAAAGATGACATGCCAGTATGTGATTAATCGCCCACTGAGTATTTGGAGGCAAGATTAACATGAGCTTAGCTCAAAGGAAATATCACTATCGGGAGAGGTATCTGAAAATGCTTCATCTCTAAAGTATATTTTGAGTAGTGTTTTGAAGGATGCATAAAATTCAGATAGGTGGAGAGGTAAGGGCAAGCTCTTCCAATTAAGGAGGAATAGCATAAATGTCAGACATTTTTACTGTGCCAACTCATTAATTGACATTAATTTAGCATAGTCCTTGGACCTAAAAATTAGATTAAATCTATTGAACAAAAATTGCAAGTTAGTCCTCCAGCTCTACATTCTGTTCATGCTACCATGTTCACTGAATGGTGATGGTAGTAGTAATAGTGGTAGCAGGAGAAGTAACAGTTAGCTAATATTTGTTAAGTGCTTTCTATGTGCCAGGCACTTTGCTAACCACCCTTTACCAATATTATCTCCATTCATTCTTTGGTAATCCTATGAGCTAGGAGTTGCGGGCTACTATCCCTTCCTGTGAATGAAGAAGGGTAGACTTAGAGAACTTAAGTAACTTGCCCACAGTTGCACAGAGTAGTGGAATCAGTCAGGATTTACATCCCCAGGGAGTTTAGTTTTAGAACCAGCACTTATTACCACTGGTCAATATTGCCATAGCACTAAACGTAGGAGGGGCTAGTGAAAAAAAAAATGTGGATTTTTTTTTTTTTTTTAATGACCTGCAAACTTTTGCAAAAAAAAAATGTGATTTTTTTTTTAACATTCTGGCAATCCCTGGTTATTAGTCAGGGTGGTTTGTAAACTGCTCTGAAAAGCTGTAGAGTGATGAACTGGTGGTCTGTTCCTAATGAGGCTTTTCCTTAACAGGATGGCTTCTGTAGCTGCTGAAGAGCACGGATAATGGGGGTAATCTGTTCTGTGAACAGCTAAGTAATGACCTTAAACTTGTGTGTTCACAGCGGAAAGAAAACATGCATATACAATTTTCTTCTGATGAAACCTAATGTATTCAAAAAAAAGAATCTTGTTTTTTGGAAGGATGGAAAAGTTGGGAATAATTTTTTCCCCTTTGATGATTAGACCAGTACTGTTGCTTAATTTTTTGGCTCAGTTACTTTGATGTGGTTACAAGAGGAATTTTGGCTGTAATGGATTTCATACATTTTTGTAAGTTATGTTTCCATGTCTTCTGTGTGATGTTGTGTACTGTTGACATGAAATACTCCTTTTTTGGTAAAGATGGCATGGCTTGACAGATTAGAGCTACAGAAAGTATGACTTAGCATGCTAGTAAGGCCACAAAAACCCAAGCAAGTTCCCCCAGTTTCGTATCCTGTAAATAGAGATAAAAAAATTTTTCTGTTTCAGAGAGAGCTTATGGAAAATTACTAGGCTTTAAAATGATTGTTAATCTCAGTGCAGGGACATTTGGTTGGGGCACATCAGTTCAAGAGTAAATGTATCTGATCCTGCTTTGAATAAATGTAACTTTAAAGCCTTGGGATTTTACCAAATCGAATCTGGGCCAAATAGAAAGGTAGGAGTAGATGTAAATTTGTTTGTAAAGGAGTTGGGGATGTGTGTGGTGGGGCAGGGTGAGGGTGGAGGGATGGGCAGGGTTGGAGTCTCCTTGGAAGCCCTTGGAGTAAAAGTCAGTGAATGTTAAACCTTTTTGGTTGTTTTTGTTGCTGAAAGTATATGCGAAGTGTTTTTGTCTTATATTTCAGAATGTCTAATTTAATAGGGATATAGACAGTTGGTTTAAACCAACATTTTTGGATGAGGAGAGGCTATGGAAATGAAGAAAGAAGTGTTTAGAAATATCACACAAACAGGTACTTCAGTCTAAATAGTAGTATTGTCTTGATTTTTTCCCCTCATATTTCTCATCAAAATTATGACATTCTGGGGCTAGCGTATTTGGATTAGAAATTTCAAGGGCTGTGTTTATGTATTTGGGTGGACTACAAGCATGAGAGTCAGTCATAGTTGCTAATGTGCAGTCATTGATGAAAAAAGTTTGTGTCTTTGTTCAACATCTGAAGTGCCTTAAACGCAGTATAGTTCTTTAGTAGAAAATATAGACAGCTCTGAGGCTGTACTTCTCACTGATAACATAGTCACAGTTTTAGATATCTTTGTCACTAATACAATGAAATAAAGGCTTTTTGATAGGTATTTTAATGTTTGTAGTGCTTTTAAGGAGAAGCATAGTACTGTGATACAAGAAGAGGGTGGTAGTGGCTGACTGATAGCATAATTAAAGGAACGATCAGGAGTCCAAATTCACATTTCATCTGGCAGTGCTGGATTTGAAAAAAACCTTCTACCAAGAAAGGTTGATGTGCCACATTACTAGACTTGCGTATAGTGTAGCACATAGTTGAGTAGGAGACTTTGAGACACAGGGTGGTTCTTAGTAGGGTGTGAAATTGTGGTGGCATGGTGTGTTATGATAAGGGATTTATCAGCTACACTCATTTTGCTTTTAGAATGCTAAGAGTTAAGTTAGTGAATTGGCTAACTATAATTCTACAAAATAGTGCTAAAAGTTTATTATAATTAGTTTATTTTCCGTGTCATCCAAAGAGAGCATCCACTTTGCTATATTACAATAACTGAGATAGAATCACAGGTATAGATACTTCGGGATAAATGAAATTGGAAGTGCCATACAGAATGAGACCATCCAGCCTAATTACGCTGACTTGGTCAATGTCCCGCAAGTGTTTATATGGGAGAGATAGCTGTCGTTAATGACTTCAGCTCCAAAAACTTACTAATGGAATACTTTATAAACCTTAAAAATGATTAGGTAGATATGCACTTACTGACATGGAAAATTTTTCGTGGACTGTTTTGCAAAAAGGCAGGTTATAAAACTGTATATTCAATCTTTGTGTAAAAAATATATATTTACATAGCATGGAAAAAATGGTCTGGAAGGATACACACCATGAGGTACATCCTCCGGCTTTATGTGCTTGTGAAATCTAAAGTCTCCTGGTGTGGATGTGGCTCTGTGCTTCAGATATGAAAAGCTTTTGATAATACTTATTTACATTATTAGCTTAGCTAATAAAAAGGGAAACTACATGTTGGGGTTACTGGTTTTGCCATTGTTGTTATTTACTTATTTTCAATTGGAAATTGTAAAAAATTCAGAATGAACATTGTATTATTATTAGTATTATTAGTATTATTATTATTGAGATGGAGTCTGGCTCTGTCACCCACGCTGGGGTGCAGTGGCATGATCTCGACTCACTGCAACCTCTACCTCCTGGGTTCAAGCAATTCTCCTGCCTCAGCCTCCCAAGTAACTGGGACTACAGGCACGTGCCACCATGCCTGGCTAATTTTTGTATATTTAGTAGAGATGGAAACCGTTTCGCCGTGTTGGCCAGGCTGGTCTCGAACTCCTGACCTCAGGTGATCCGCCTGCCTCAGCCTCCCAAAGTTCTGGGATTACAGGCGTGAGCCACCGCGCCCACCAAATGTTGTATTTTTTAAAAGCAAATATTTAGAATAAAGCTTGTTAGTAGACCTTTATTCATTGATTTATTTCATCTTTCCTGGAGGGAAAAACATATATACGTATGCTTTTCCAGAATAAATTAGTCTTTTTGGGGATACTCTTGTGCTGCAGATCAGAAAGACTGCTTTAGAAAACAAAACAAAAATTCCAGCTACCTAAATTGTCTAAGAATCTGGCAGAGTTTGGATACAGTGGATAATTGTTCAAAAAAAGAAAGCTTTTTGGAGATGAGGTTAGAAGAAGAGTTCACAAAGAAAAAAATTAATGGGTTTAAAAAACAAAAAAACAAAAACAAAACTTGCAACAATTGAGAAAGGTAGCAATCCTGAGAGGTTCTTTGAAGACAGCTGGGAGATTTTCCTCCTGTGGCTTCGTTTTCTTAGTTTTTGCTGACCTCCCCCCACCCCCTGCAAATTCAGAGGCAATGCATTTCTCTTTTGTCTTTTTTTTTTTTTTTTTTAAACTCTTTCTTAACGCTTGTTTTTTTCTGCCAACTGTCTTTTTTTTTTCACTTTCATTTAAGCCTCTCTTTTTTTTGATTGCTACTCTTTTCTCGGCTTATTTACTGAACTCCCTATTCTATGGATTCTCTTCCCTTAACTGTACTGGAAATGCTTCTCCTAAGGTAAACAAACTCTTAGTTGCCCAGTCCTTTACTGATTTTTAAATTCTCGTTTTTGACCTCTGTATTCTTCATAAAGATCAATAACCCTCATCCTTGCACTGTAGTCATGGTAATCTCTCAGAATTTTTCTTCGTTTTATCTTTGCAGGATAAAGTCTAGCCCAAGAAAGGTCAGTCATGACCTTACTGACCGCTGTCACCTCCACAGTTGAATCTCCTTTCCCCGCCTGTCAGCACACATATTTTATGTTTCAGCAGTACAGCTGATAACCCTTGTTTCTGGTCTCTTGTGGTTGTTCATGTGCTATTGTTTCCTGTGCCTAGAATGCCATTCCTCACCTTGTCAGCTAACCTTTATCTTTCAAAATGGCTCAGGATTCACCTACTTCCTTGATCACACTTCTGAAAGTTAATCACTTCTTATGTTTAATTCACTATTTCTTGTCTGGCTTATTTTAGATATGTGTTATGTATCTCCTTCTAGAGTGTGGATGCCCTGAGGGCAGAGTTTGGATTTTATTCCTTCTCACTTTCTTTAGTGCTTAGCATAGTGTGTGGTGTAGATTTAGCATCTGGTACAGGCTTGTTGAACTGAACTAAATGAAACTAAGCTCTATGAAGGCACACATTTAAAAAATAAATGAATGGGGAAATAAACCTAATTGGGAGAATTTGTTAAGATATAAAAATGAAAAGAGATGGCAGAGAAAAAGAAATGTATTAGTTGTCTGCATTTTTACTAAACAATTGGTAAGGAAATTCTCATTCTCAGGTTGTCTTGTGAAGAAAACAGTTACCCAAGTGGATAGCAAATCACTAGAATGAAATGTCATCTGACCCAAGGAACCTGAAGGTGAAATTGTGGAGCCTTTGACAAATTGTTTACCTGAAGTTTTGTTTCCAAATAGTGGTAGCAAAATATTGGCAGGTCGCTTTTAGAGTGTAGTTTCTGCACTTCTCTGATGAATAGATATGATTGATCCGTTGAATACAAATGGGTCCTTGTCAAATAACTGAAAGTAATTTTAAACTACTTGAGAGTATTTTCCTTTTCTCCATTTTTGTGAAAGCTATGAAAACTTCTTGAAAATTTAGCCCCATCCTAAATTAATGCATATTTTGAATTATTGTGATTTCTTTTTCAAAAGCACAAATCAGTTCCCAAGTATCTACTATTGTAGTAACTTGAAACCTGCAGAAATGGCTTCCTGCTGCAGGAAGCACCTCTTTCCTTTTTTAACCTCTACAATCAGCGGTGACCGGGAGGCCTGAATCTCCCAGCCATCTTAAGGCATCACATCTCCTTAGCTTACGGCTCCAGAATCAGCATAATTTGGGTCAAATTTTGGTAATTTGGATGAAAGATACGGGTAACTGGCTAGCTAAGGAAGTGGAACTGTGCAAGCTGAGGGTATTCTTCCAGCCCTTTGATACACCCCATAGTGGAGCCCTGTGAAAGCCATGGTAAAGAAGGGCAGAACGCTGCTGTGGCCTTGGCAGCCTGCTCACCTTCATCTCATTCTCTGCTCTTAGTTTCACTGCGGTTTGGTTCTCAGAACGCTGCTGTGGCCTTGGCAGCCTGCTCACCTTCATCTCGTTCTCTGCTCTTAGTTTCACTGCGGTTTGGTTCTCAGGCTTGGATATGTTTTGTTTCTGCTTGCTTTTTCTGTGCTGTTGCTGTTTTACAAAATTATGTATTTCTGTTTAGCCATCTATTTTATTTCTCTTTTCTTCCTCCCCAGTTTCTTCAAAATTAATATTTTATATTCTACATACACAAATTCCAATTTGGAATTTTAAAAATAGAAATATTATAATAATGAAGACATTAAAAAATCCTTTGACAAATTATTAGGTCATTTCCAGATACATTACTTAAAAACATTTTCCATTTCAAAAAGATGATGTATGCACATGGTGAATTCAAGTTGTTCAAAAGGGTAAACATTGGAAAGCAAATCTTTCGTATTCCTCCGGAGATAGTCTATGCATATACAAGCAGATAAATCTATTTTTATAAGATTTAAAATGTATATTTTGGCACTCTGTGGGGTACTTTTTATATCTTTTGGAATTAGCTAGTGAGGCTGGCTGTATTTGTACTTTGTGAATTATACTACTCTACGTTGTTTCTTTGTAAAATAAGTATTGACCTTGCATACTTATTGTACAAAAGGATCTATCTTATATGTTTCCCAGTGTTAGTGGTCAGACATGGCCTACTTTCTGTTGTGTTGAGCTTCAGACAACTTTCAGTTGTGCTGAGCTTCTTACCCAACCCATTTATTGGGAACATAAAATACAAATTGTGTACTTAACCTCAACAGTGGTTAAGAGTACTTAGGTGACTGGATGTTTTGTTCTGATTTTAATGTAGTTGGCAAAAGTGTACTGAGCACCTTATCCTCCAATTCATACGTTATCCTGACTTTTTCCAAGCACTTTACAAGAGTATATTACAGTCAGGATCTTGAGGCACAAACGAATTGAAATTTTCACAGGCCTACTTCACAACTTAGTAATGGAAGCAGGCAATATCACCAAAGATCCCTGGCTCTCTGGCTTTCAGCACCAATTCAGAACAGTTTTACAAATGTATTAGAACTCTGCCAACTATAGAGGTAGTCTGATATAATTTGATACCTGTTATTTCCAAAATGTCATAGATTACCCTCCCACCCCCCAAAAACCTTTTAAAGGCTCTAGTGAAAGATCTTTTTCCATCCTGTATTTCCTCATTTTTCAATCTGTTTGGTTTTCAGCCTTTTTTCCCACCTACTGTTCCTCCTCAGACTGCCCCAACAGATTTTGAGTAGAGTTACATTACCAATCCATTTCACAATCTTGATATTCTAATTCAAAACCTATGTATTAATGTGTGCCCATCTGCATTCCTGGAAAGTTAATCCAATAGTGCATCCTGGAAAATGGCCAATGAAGGCGCTTGGTGTTGCTTTTCAGTCTTAAAACAAAAACAAAACAAAACAAAAGTATTAAAAAAAAATCCTATTTGGAAGAGTTCTTACAACATGGGACCATGAGGGAAAGCTTTTAAGTTCCCATGTTTGCTTGCTTACTAGCACTTTAACTTGAATACGTCTTTCCTACCATCCCTTGGTTTCTCTATATTTAAATTTGTATGTAAGATTACTGCCCTTGAATTGTGTAAGTTTGAGTTTAAGTGGTTCTGAAGCCTCCAGATAAAAGGTGCTGCTTAAACTCAGTGATATTATTTTGACAGTGACAGTTCACCCTCCCCACACACTTTGTATTCTTTTGATCTGCTGATTGTATGAAAGATAACAATGTAACTTCTTTGGCTTTTTCGTTAAAAATTTCTAAAAATTCTGTTGGCATTCTGCTTGAGACAGGGTTTTTTTTTTTTTTTAATAGCTATGGTGCCTGTGTCTAGTGGCATAGTCCCTGCTCTATGTTGTCTGCTGTTGGAGGTGAGGAGTTTACATTGAAAAAGAACTTTTCAACTTGAAATTCCCAAAGCCCTAGCTGAACACAACACAGTTCAATTTCGACACACTCAGTGTTGGAATAGAGGGCGGCCGCTATGTAAATACTTAACACTGTGTGGGTAGAAAGAACAAAGTGTCTTGTACTAAAACAAACTCTATCTTTTAGCTTACAAATGGGAATTTTGAGCAAAGGGCAGCCTTCTATTTTCAAGGTCACTTTACTCATGATGACATTGATGCCATTTATCATGAAAATTTTTGTTCAGTGGTTGGGCATGTGCTCAGTGAGCATCTCCTGTGTTCTAGGCATTTGTAAATTGCTTCCACAAAGTCCAGTAGATCGTGGTCCTGGTAGTAATGTAGGAAATGAGCCAAGTTGAACAACCACTTTTATATTAATACTTTTTTCAAATTCTTATTACAAACCTGAGAGGAAGGTTTAGACCATATATAAGTGAGAAAATTAAAGTAGAGAGAGATTAGGTAATTAGCCTGTGGTTTACCCAGCTAGGGAAAGAGCTTAAATTTCCTATGTCCATGTGCTTTCTGTTGTACTACAACTTCCTCTTAGAATTAACATTTATATGTTTTAGAACTTTACAATGGCCCTGTAATCCAAATAGTGCATTTGTATGTTTTAGGGCTCTACAGCAACCCTGTAATCCAGGTACTAGAGATGTTAATACCTTATTTTATAGTTGAAGACATTGGAGATAGCACTGACTTGCCTGATGGTACAGAACTATTAGGTAATCAGAACTGAGTGGGGCCTAGACCTACCCTTCATCCTGAATTCTCTGCCCTTTCTTCTCAGCACCTGAGAGGCTAGCGATTTTAATACTTGGCAACATTTATCAAACTGTTACCATGTATAATAAACTATGCCTGATGCTATGAATTGATACTGAAGGAAATAGGGTTACACATTTCCACTCCCCTTTCTAATGTAATGGTAGAGATAGGATAATCACATAAGAAAAATACCTAACGTTCATTATAATTAAACAATATAAGCAAAAGTAAACCAGTAACTATAGTGAAGTAAACATGTCACCACTAATGGGAAGCAATTTGAAGCATTATCTGGCTAATACCAAACAGCCTTCTGAGAAGCTTTTCAGTGCTCGTTCCTGCTGGTTTCTTCTAGGAAAAAGTACGGGTAGTGATGTTTCAGCCTCTTCAGGGCTACTGGCTTCTTCCTTGTAATCTATAACCATGTTCGGGTCTCTCTTATTTTAAGATATAAAATCTTGACAGTTGCCCAGATTCCCTACTCTCTTATCATCCCATCTTCCTTCTCCACTCCCAGCAAAGCTTCTTGAAATGTTGGCTAAACACTCTACTGTCTGGCTGTTTTCTTTCTTTTTCTTCATGACTCTCTTTCCTCTTCCTGTCCCTTAAATATCAGTGACTATTGTGTTATTGTTCTTATTCATAACATTTTGTGTATCATAAAGGTGTCCAAATCTTCATCTTTAGCTCATTTTTCTCATGCGACTCCAGATTGTTTCCCTGGATATTCCACAGGCACTTCAAATTGAACATGTATAAAGTAGAATTCATCATTTTCTTCTGTACAACTGGCTCTGTTCCTGCTTTCTTGTTAGTTAATGCTATCACCAGTCACCTGGTCACCTGAACTAGAAACCTGGGAGTCATTTTTGACTTTACCTTCTCCCTCAGTCCCTGTAATTTCTGAATAGTTTGCTTTTTAACATGATCATGAATATGCCTCTGCTTTCTATTTATTCTACCACTGAATGACTTCAAGCTCTCACGATCTGTCTGCTGTATTCTGGCAGTATCTTCCTAACTCTTCCCCCTACCTTCAGTCTTCTTTCCCTCATATTCACCAGCTCCAGGGTAAGTTTTCCCTAAAAATTAGTTGTTGTATTCCCTTCCTTAAAACCTTTCAGTTTTTTCTGTTTCCTATAGGATAACATTGAACCTCCTAATGTGGTATACAAGATCTCCTCTGAGGTTCCTATTTAGATGCTCCGGATGATGTCTACCATTGGCAGGCTGCTTTGGCAACATCAGATATTTTGTGCTTACTCATATATACCATAATACATTTTGACTGCCGTTCCTTTTCTTATGATATCCCTTCTTTTGTACGTATATCCTTCTCCCTTCTGATTATTTTAGAAAAAATGCCTGATACCTAATAGTTGAAATTACAGAGGTCAATTTTAGCTGCCTATATTTTGATTAATATTTAATATGGTCATAGGACAGCCCTTTAAGTAATGAGTTATCAGGTTGTCAGAAGTTAGCATGTTGTTTAATATTACCTGTTTTAATGTATGCATGAGTCCTCAGTACTCATCTTCTCAGATGCTGGAGTCATTCAATGTTTGGACCCTTAGCTGATGCTAAACAGAAAGGACCCTACCCAAACTCAGAACGAAAAAAGATGACATTTTGTATTGTTTAGGAGTAGGTCCAGTTATAGGTAACTAAAAAATTGAGAAGAACGATGGCTTAAGCAAAATAGGTTACTCATCTGTCACTGAAATTTCCAGAGATATGTACCAGTATGGCAGCTCAGTTACATGAAGTCCTCAGCGATGCAAAGCCCTTTCAGCTCTTCGTCCCACTTTTCTTAGTGTATATTCCTTGGGTTCACTGTCTGGTGGTATCAGTTTTCTAGGCAACAGATGGAGGAAGAAACAAAGAAGGAGGGCAAATGGCACACTCTGGTCATCTTTTAAGGATGACTCCTAGAAGCTGCCACAGAATACTTGGGTTCTATCCCATCAGCTAGAACTTAGCCAGCACTCATTCCCAAATACAGTTATCCAGTTAAAGGTTCTTTGACTATGGAAGAAGATAATGGATTTTGAGGGACAGATATTAAAGGATTCATCCAAACTATTTAGCCTGGTGCTCAATCTGTACCTTCTTTTTCAGACCTTTCTCCAATTACTTATCCACATGAATCCTATGCACCAGCCAAAAGCCTTCTCCTTGCCCTTTTTTGAAAGTGATCAACTCCTCTTCTAAATCTTGTAATACTTTTCATCTGTATTGCAGATAATATGCTCAACTGTTATTGCTGTCATTTGTCTGTATATGTAGCTTCCCTAAATTGTAAGCTGTCACCACAGTATATGTTTATAGGGTCAGTGACCGAGTATCATATGTCTTGTAATGCCTAGTCTAGTACTTTATAAATAATTGGTTTTCAATAAATACTTCTTACGTGAGTAAATACATAATTTGATGATTTCTTGGTTTCTTGTAGCATTTTAAGAAAGAAAGATGGATCAGCCTAGTGGAAGAAGTTTCATGCAAGTATTATGTGAAAAATACAGTCCTGAAAATTTTCCTTATCGCCGTGGCCCAGGGATGGGAGTCCATGTCCCAGCCACACCTCAGGGCTCTCCTATGAAAGGTAAGAAAGATGGGACCTAAAACACTTATGTAGTGGAACTTACTTAGAATGTTAAATCACAATGTTGCCTTGTTTGCAAATGATTTATTTTTAATTACAGTCAAATAATCTTTCCTCCTTGTTATGATTTCAGTTTTCTAAAGAACACAACAGGACTGGTTTTCCTCCAGATTGACTAAGAGATATTTTAGTTGCATGTGTAGGACAAGAATAAATTTGAGTGATAATATCTCAAATGCATGTTCTTTTATGGAACATAGAGGGTACAAAACAGTACAGGACTGGCCTGTGCCCTCCAGGACCTTATAGCCTAATTGGTTTACAAGACATTCGCATTTACAAAGGTAAATCAACACAAGACAATTTATGTTGAGCCAAATGAATGGTATAGTGACTGGGAAAGAAATTTAAAAGATAATTAATATGATCAAAAAATGATTCAAAGCTGTGAGATTTTAACTAGTCCTTCAAGAATGTAGAATTTGGTTAGAGATGAGATACATTCTAGGAGAGGGATTAGATGTGATCAAAAATCTGTAACTAGAAATGTGCAGGGTATATTTTTGCTTGCCTTTTTGCTTAGCGTTGCAACTGAGAGTTCTTGGAAGTTTTTTTTTGTAATTATGGGGGATTAATATTGAATCACTGTTTTAGTTCTTACTTTCAAAGGTTACTGAGTGTTTGCTGTTTCTAAATACAATAATTTTATCTCTATGTAACCTGAAATGGCAGAGAGAAGTGGATTTCTTGGTAATTTTTTTTGAGGGGGATCCATTCCCATTCTGAGAAATATGTTGCTGAAAGTAGCAAGTTGAAAACCATGTAATTTGAGGTCTCCATTAACAAAGTATTACTTTGATGAGTCCTTGTTTAATACCAAATGGGAAAAGAGTGTTTGCATTCTCATGTTTATCCTTTTTAGTAGAGATTGTGAGAGTGATTTTATTGACACATGTGTTTTTGAAACAGGCAGTAGTCAAAAAGTCATTGCCTCGGTTTGACCAAATTCAGTGAATAGTGTAAGACTCTGAAACACTTTCTCCCATTATAGTTATATTTTTAAAGAAGGCTAATTTTCATAAGGGACAAATTCTGTAGGGATATGAAATGGAGATAATTGATAGACAGGAGTGAGAGAGATTAGAGTTCTGAATGGATCCACTTAAGTGAGGAAGATTTCTTGAATGATATAAACTTAACAGAAGTGATTTAGTAGATTAATGGTTTGAGATGATTTTCAGAGGCACAAAATATTAAGATACACATCAGATAGAGAGAAAAGAGCCATCTAGAATACTTCGGAACTAAATTTAAAAAAGAAAGAATTGAGACCTGTTAGAAAGTACTGGTAGTCCACACATGAATTTCATGGATCTCTTTTTCAGATGATAAGATGATAGCATGGATAAGGGCTCTGTTGTTGGTAATTGAGATAAACAATCCTGCTATGAGTTAAAGCCTAAAGGACTTTTTTTGGTGGTACTGGTGCAGTACTTCTGAGCTCCTCCTGGGCAATAACTGGGTGTCTCTTCTTAGAATTCAGTACCCTTTGGTCCCATTATATCCTGTATTTTCTAGATCCTTGTGTAATTTCACACAGTTTGATTTTTGTTTCTTGACAATTCCTGGGGGCTGAACATAGGTAGACTAGAATTTGGCTGATATGGAAAGTATTTTGTGTCTCCCATCATTCAGATCGCCTCAACCTCCCAAGTGTACTAGTGTTGAACAGCTGTGGAATAACCTGTGCAGGAGATGAGAAAGAAATTGCTGCCTTCTGTGCTCATGTGTCGGAACTAGATCTGTCTGACAACAAACTCGAAGACTGGCATGAGGTGAAGTTTTTATATTGCTACATTTTGGTGAAAAGCAGCAATAACCCTTGTTTATGTTATATGTTCTAAATTCTGTTCTTACTTGATGTCTGTATGGCTTCTTGTTGTCTGTATATCTTATTGTCTGTATGTCTGTATGTCAAGATAAATAAGGCCTATAATCCCAGTGCTAAGGAGGCTGAGGCAGGAGGATCACTTGAGCCCAGGAATTCAAGACCAGTCTGGGCAACATAGCAAGAACCCATCTTTAATTAAAAAAAAAAAAAAAAAAAAAGAGACAAATAACTGACTCTGTCTATGGTGATTAAAAAAAAAAAAAAAATTGTTATTGTTACTTTGTTTTCCATCAAGGTGAAAATCGCTAAGGAAATTCAGGCATCAAGAGGTTCATTAGTCTTTGTCAGCTTAAACTGCTAACAGTGCATTAAATTTTCTACTGTTTCACTAATTTATGCGTCCTATGCTCATTCTCTACTTCTACTTCAATATAAATATTGACTGAATGTTCAGTAATGTAAATTTTACTGAAAATTGACATAAAATTGATTGTTGAAACTGAGATTATAAATATATTTATTTTTGTTATTGAAATTTATTCAAATATTTTACAACTTTTCTTATGTTATCAGATCCCTTCGGTGGTTTGACATAACTGATGTGTTGACCTCAGAGTAACTATAAACTACACACATAGTTTGTAAAAGTACACAAATACAGTTTTGTAACATTCTCTTATTATTATATATAATATTACCTACCTGCTTATAACATTACCTGATAGAAGCTACCCTGAAGAATAAGGTTAAAATGTTCTTCCTCCTTGGTTCATTCTTCTGCCTTAATTTGGGCTCTTACTTTTTGATGTGACTTTAGGAAGACTTTCCTAATGGGTTTTCCTGGATCCGGCTTTATTCTGCTTCCGCTAAGCTGTCTTCCATAGTGCTACCACAGACTCCTTTTACTACATGAAGCATGATTATGACGCTGTCCTGCATAAAGGCCTATAGTTGCCTTTCTTTGCCTGGAAACTGAGGTCTGACTCTGTAAGCATGGCTGTTCATCATATGGCCCTTTGCTATTTCTAGAACTTTTTCTCCCCCTTTAGCCATATACTTTTACTTGCAGCTCATGATAAACTCGAAAAAAAAATCTTCCTTGCTTTTATTCATTCTGAACCCACTGCTGTCTTTCTTCTCTTGTCTACCTGGCCACTTCCTATTTATCCTTCAAGACTTGGCCCAAGTTGCTATTCGTCTGTGAAATTTTCCCTGGCTGTCTCACAGACAGATTATCCCAGAGCACCTACACTATACCAGTATGAAAGGATTTATCACAGTCAGGTGTGATGACTTGCTTACTTCACAGTTTTCCTAATAGACTATGAGCTTATTCCAAGTGGAGATTTTTATCTTTTGTTAAATCATAAGCCCAGCATACCAAGTAGTCAAATGTTTGTTGAGTGTGTTAATCATTAAATGATTATATTTTAAGAACTGCTCAAGACCTCTTGTTCCAACTTTTCCTGTGATCTTAAGAAATTCACTTAATCCTTTAGAGCTTTAGTTTGCTCATCCATAAGATAGGCTTGCTGATAAAATTAATCATTGAAACACTTAGTTGATATTGAATGCTATACAAATTCTAAGACAGATTTCTTGTTTAAGAAAAACCTATCCATAACCTAGTTTTGGTAAGCTTTTCTTATATTTATCTATTTTATGCCCTTGTTTAATCTGGTAACTGTGTTCTTGGTTATATTTCCTACTTTTATTAGGATTTTAACCAAAATTCTTTGCAATGCATGTCACCTATTTCTGAGTGATTTATTAACATATGCAGATATATAGGGCTATTCTAAGAAATAACTTCTATTTGTATATGTATTTATTTACTTATCTGAACAACTTGTATAGTTTACTGTTTAACAAATTACAGATTGTGCCTTCTTGGTCCTCTGCAACATTTAATTGCCACACATGCTTTGTCTGCACTTCAAATTTGTTTCTTTGGAAATACAAAATTTTACAAAGTTTTTGTGCTTTGACCATGTATATAAGCTTTTGCTAATTACTGGGAACAGTTTAATAGTGATATAGTTGCTACCTCAGGAGGAAGATGTGTATAGTACAGATCAGTACACAGTGTGTAAACTAAGTAATTCAGCATTTTTCTCTGCTTAGACAAAGGTCTATGTTAAATTTTTCTCAAGCCACATTGACATGTAGCCAGAGGGCCACATACTTATTTATACTGTATTTGTACTCAGTTTGCATATTCCTAAGTGCTCTATTGTCTGTTTTCAGGCAGTTTTCAAGTAAATATTTGTTGCTGTTACTTTCAGGTATCCATTTTCCAATTTATTTTTGTTTTCATCATTCCTTTATTATTTCCTCTTTATCCTTAACTGTAGTTGATCCCAGTCTTCTAGAGGATATATCAGAACATAGAGAAGGGAGAAATATGACAAAAGAATGTTGATTTTTAGGATTGATTAAACTCTTTGCCAGGCTACAAATGCTTCATAGGTTGCCAGTTTTAGGACATTACATTTCAACCCCATTATAACCCATATATCCGATTACCAAAAAGATAATTTGTCCTTAGCCATTAACGGAATTTATTTCAGCCAGTACTGATAGGGCAATGTGGAACCAGTTGTATATTTTTCCCTTAGTTTTTTGGATGACCAAGAATATTATAGGTTATGAGTAACTTCTTTTGTAGCTTAATTTGCTAGCTGCTGTATATCCAGAGACTAAGATAAATATGGATGAGAAAAGTAATACTTTTGGGGAGGCAAAGATTTGCCTTCACCCTTCTAAAATTGGGCACCTATGTTTAAAAATAATGTAATTTTTTAGCTTTTGACTTGAATTTTTGGCTGAGTAGATCTTTGTCTGTCCTTTCCCAAGGTACCTTCTTTTTACTCCATTACTTATCAAAACCATTTTATGAAAGAAATTAAACCTAGTGGTTGAGAGGAGGGAGGAAGTAGCCACTCAGGTAAGGTAGAGAATAGCTTAGGTATAGATGACAGATTGATATCTTAAAACCCTTTTCCCATTTTTCTTAAATCTTCAATTTCTTCCTTTTTAGAAGCCAAAGTAAAGGGTCCCCTATTAAATAATAGAATTGTAGAAACCTAAAAGGTGATCTGAGTTCATCTCCATGTTTCTGCACATGAGCATACTCATTCCAGTTGGAGGAGTCTTTTTTATTTTTAGAATTTAAAAAAGAGAAGTCAGTATACTGCCCTGGAAACTCATGGAATGTTTGTCAGCTTTTGGTACTGGGAAATTTTTCTGTCATAAGTAAATTTATCTGTGTAATGAATATTATGTCTTCCTGAGCCTTATCAGTTTGAGGTTACGCAAAAAAACCTTTTTTATTTCATCCCTTTAAAGAAAATATTCATTTATTTCTAACATTTGTTATTTTTCCTGCTTGAATGGTTAAATTCTAGTCCAGTTTTATCTTTTAGGATATTCTAGAGTTAACAAGTCATTATTCTGAATATTTATTTTCCCTGAGCGGTAATGCTGATGCAGACTGTGGTGATTATGTCATATATCTGCTAGCCTTGGGAAATCTCCCAGAAATTGTTTCAAAACCCTTAAATTGACTATTTTTTAAAGTGTTTTCCTCTTTATTATAAAAATAAAATATGAGTGGTAGTAGTTAGCAAAGAGTTTATGTTTTATTTTTATTTAACTGGGGTTGTCCTATAATTGAGTTATTCTTTATGCTTTAGTTGGAGCATATTTCCTGTCCCCCTCCCACCCCCACAAAGAGGTTAAGTATAGCTGGTAAGCATCTTCTGTATGAAAGTTCTTCATATTGGTATTCAGTCATAGAATGCAGTATAGATTGGTTCCTGCATGAACTATTTAGCTGTGTTTTAGTCACAGACTAAGCTCCAAATACTAGCCATATATTGCACAAATGTTTGGTACCATTTGATTGCAAAAGGGATCAAGCAAGAGGGTATGTGCACACTGGTGTAAATTCCTTACACTTTAAACAGAAGCCTAGTGTATTTTCTCTAAAAGTTAGCTCATTTCTTCATTTGTACAATGAAGATAAAAATGGTACCCACTTTATAGGGTTAGTGTGTGGAATAAGTGAAATAGTGAATGCAGGGAACTTTTTCTTCTCACCCACTCTTCTGAAACTTCTTGGAATTAATCTACTTCTCACTGATTTTAGAGCTCCTGAACTGAATGTTTACACAGTAGATCTGATGTAAAATACAGGTTACTTTTTCTTTCTACCCATGGTTCTCCCTCCTGGATACTCTTTTGGCATTACTTCTGGAGCTCTGAAAAGAAAGATATTCAGGTTACAACCCTGAAGCTTGTCCCACCTATGAAGCTTCTGTTTCAGTAGTTATGGTGGAACGTTGGAATCAGTGTATTTTAAATTCTGTCAGTGATTCTGTTGAGTAGCCAGGGTTGAGATAATGGTTCATACTGTGCTTATGTTCATAGTAGTTACATTTATTAAATGATTTAGTGCCATTAAGTTATTCAATAAATAAGTGCCCACTATGCAGTAGTGAAGTAGGTAAGTACTATATCTGCTTTTATAGCGCTTACATGCTATTGGGGGGATGTGGGGAAACAAGTTTCAAAAAAATGTGTCACTTGCTGTGCTAAGCACTTTATATGTGTATCTCATTTAATCCTACCAACAGGTGGGAACTGTTTTCCCTATTTTACAAATGAGGAAACTGAGATTTGGAAAGGTTAAGTAACTTGTCTGAAACCACACAGCTAGGAAGTGTTGGAACCTCGTTTGAACCCAGGTTTTTTTACTCTAAAACTAATCCTAACTACTCTTTTCTCCTTTTCTTATAACTTTTACTTACAACATTGCCTGGCTGTTTGATGCTTAATACATTTACTGGACATTTAGCATTTATTTCTTACTTGTTTAAGCTGATCCTTCTCACAGATTGTACCAAATAGTCTTCAGTCTTCTTTATTCATTTTTTCTAGTTATATTTTTGATGTATAAATATGGCATATTGGAAAGAAAAATGGCTCTGAATTTTAAATCCCAGACTTGACCTTTGTAACTATAAGACCTTAGTCAAATTATTTAACATTTCTGAGCCTCAGATTCCTCATTTATTAAAATGAAAGTAGTATTATCTTGCAAGCTGTTTTGAGAATTTAATGAATAAACTATATCAAAGAGACTAGTACCATGCAGACCAAATAGTTAAAGTCAGTAATGCTCATTTTCTTTTTTTCCTTTTTGTCTACCAAGTTGCTAGCTAAATCGTTGATAATCTTTTTTTTCCTTTCATTATATAGTTATGGATTTTGTTTGTTTTTGAGTAAACATATTTTAAAGTTTGGTACATCTTTAAACCAAATTGAAACTGTTTTCTAAGTGATTGTGATAATATAATCAAACTTAACACATGAATTAGTACCAGGTGAATTTTAACCTTTAATTAGCCTTAATATTTTGCTAAGAATGAGAGGAAGGAGATATTCAAAGAGAATTATATGAAGTAATCTCAACTCTTTAAGAAATGTCATCAAAACTATCTTTTCTCCACTTATCAAAGAGAACATCACATAGAGCAGAATCAGAAGCCTTTCTAAAGGCAACATAGGAAATCTTCCTTTTTACCATTAAGTTCTGTTATGTACCAGTCAGTTCTGCCACTATTTCATTGAAAGATTAAATTATTTGCCAAGGTTTGTTGAAATCACTTATGTCCCTCTGTGAGTACCGTTACTAAATAGGACTCCTTGATATAAACAGCCCTTTGCCTGGAGACCCGCTCCCCTAGGCTTTCTTGAGCATGACTGCTATTTAACAGCTCTGATTACTGCCTGATAATGCTTTTCTTTTTTTCTCCTTAGGTCAGTAAAATTGTGTCAAATGTTCCTCAGTTGGAGTTTCTAAACCTGAGTTCCAACCCTCTGAATTTGTCGGTTTTAGAAAGAACATGTGCTGGGTCCTTCTCTGGGGTTCGCAAACTTGTCCTCAACAACAGCAAAGCTTCTTGGGAGACAGTCCACACGATACTGCAGGAGTTACCAGAGTAAGCCCAGAGAGCATGAGGGCAAGGGAGCTATGTTGCCATCTGTGTTAGTACATAGGATTACTGCTGATCTCCCACCCAAGAAATACTAGAACTGCAGATTGAGTGGAGAAAGAGGTTAGAAAAACGAAGTTATTGGAATGAAAATGTGCGGGTAATCTAGTAGCGTTTCCAGTGGAATACATGTTCAGTGTTGAGTAGCACCAAGACATGGGATATGTCATCTCTGGGCTAGAAAATACCCCTGAGAAGCACTTATCACTCTAAATCAACTCAGCCTTACTCCATTTTAATCTTCTGATATGAGAATTGAGCCTCAGCCCTTTTCTTTGGGAGGAAAAAGTCATAGTATCACTAAAATGTGTTAACATTCAGATGATTAAGTACCTAGCTGATCTGATGGGAAAAGTGACCTAGTATTATTTTCAATAAATTAAGAAAGAAATTATATTTTAGTCAATTAAAAAATGCTTTATTATGTTTCGTTTGTCTCTATCTTTGTATTTACATGTAAGTGTGCAAAGGAAATTTAAAGAAGCTGTAGTTTCTTTGACTGTATAAATATGGAAATTCTCAAAGCCCTTTAGAATCTTGTCCCACCCAACTTATTCCATCTTAATTTCGCACTCTCACTCTAATGAGATTGGTTTCCTCACTGCACCCAACACCCAGCATGGCACAGAATGAGCATTTAAGTGCTAGTTTCACTACTAATCATATGACCTTTGATGAGCTACTGAACTTCTTTGAGCTCAGTTTCCTTGTCTGTAAAATGGGCATAATTGCATTTACCTTGCAGAAGTAGGGATAAAATCTGTAATACACCTGGCATAGGGTCTGACACAGGGTAGGGATTCAACAAATGATAGTTATTATTTCTACTTCTAAACATTTGTTCATGTTGTTTCTGGAATTTTCTTCTATGTCCTCTCAACTTGTGGAAGTCCTCCCCTCCTTCAAGGCCATGCATCCTTTCCTGGTTATTCTAACTATAATTTCAATTTCATTCTTATGTGAATGACTATTATACTTACAGTTAGTACTGCTTAATTTAGTACTTAATTAAGCACAAAAGTAATTTCGCACTACCTTACATCATTCTTTGCTATTTCAGTGTGTACTTTAGGTTTTGTCTTCCCAGCTATAGTTTGAACTTCAGGAAGACATCTTGGTATTTTCTCCACAATTCCTAGCAGAGTCTCACATATAGTAGGCACTTATTTATTTATTTATAGAATGAATGAAAATAGATATAAAGTAGAAACTAAACTGCTTTAAACATGAAATATTTCCTTTTGTCTCTGCAGTTTGGAGGAGCTCTTCCTGTGCCTTAATGACTATGAAACAGTGTCTTGTCCTTCTATTTGCTGTCATTCTCTTAAGCTACTACATATAACAGACAATAACCTCCAAGACTGGACTGAAATACGAAAGTTAGGAGTTATGTTTCCTTCACTGGATACCCTCGTCCTGGCCAACAATCATTTGAATGCTATTGAGGAGCCTGATGATTCATTGGCCAGGTTGTTTCCTAATCTTCGATCCATCAGCCTCCACAAGTCAGGTGAGGTTCAGGCTTGTTCTTATTCTACATTCAAATTAACCTGAGCATATGCATGAAATACAATGAAAGTATATTTCTTTCAGTCACAGTTTTATCTTTTTTAGAGTGAATTTTCTATATGACATGCAGATGCCTATGATTGGCTAAATTTAAGACATTGATTTTCATAAATGATCTGATAAATACTGAGTGGCATAGCATTACATTGACAGTTTATATTTTGTACATTAAAGGAGTCATGCTATGAAAAGAGTGAAATGAAATTCATACACTGGATATTAAAAGACACAGTAAAAATAGTACAAAGAATTACAAGATAGACCATTTTATCTGGACTTAGTTTAAGGAATCCCAACCTGCTATGTCTTTTCAAATGCTGACTTTTTTAGTATCTGTATGTAATTGATTGTCAGTTTATTGCCATTTGATCCTGTGTATCACAGGAATGAATATATTTAGCTTATTTCTTTTTTATTGATAAACTTTATTTTTTAGAACAGTTTAAAGTTTACATCAAAATTCAACAGAAAGTGCAGAGAGTTTTCATATACCCCTTGTTCCCACATATATACAGCTTCCCCCACTGTCAGTGACCCACAGCAAAATGGGACATTTGTACCATTTCAATCAATGAACCTATGTTGACTCGTCGTTATCACTCAAGTCCATAATTTACCTTAGGGTTCACTATTGGTGTTGTAAATTCTACAGATCTTCACAGATGTGTAGTGACACATGTCCACCACTGTAGTAACATTCAGAATAGTTTCCCTGCCCTAAAAATCCTCTGTGCTCCAGCTATTTACCCTCTCAATCCTGGCAACCACTCATCTTTTTACTATCTGCATAGTTTTGCCTTTTCCAGAATGTCATGTAGTTGAAATCATACAGTATGTAGCCTTTTCAGATTAGCTTCTTTCACTTAGGAATATGTCTTTAAGTCCTCCATGCCTTTTCATGGCTTGATAGCTTATTTGTTTTTAGTGCTGAATACTATTACATTTTCTGGATGTACTACAGTTTATTTTATCTACTCACCTACTTGCTGAAGGACATCTTGGTTGCTTCCAAGTTTGGGCAGTTATGAATAAAGCTGCTGTAAACATCTGTGTACAAGTTTTTGTATGGACATGAGTTTTCAATTCATTTAGGTAAATACTAAGGAGCATGACTGCTGGATCATATGGTAAGAGTATGATTAGTTTTATAAGAAACTGCCAAACCGTCTTCCAAAGTGGCTGTATCATTTTGCATTCCCACCAGCAGTTCAAGAGTTCCTCTTGCTTTACATCCTAACCAGAGTTTGATGTTCTCAGTGTTTTGGATTTTGACCATTCTAATAGGTACATTGGGGTATCTTGTTTTAACCTGCAGTTCTCTAATGATGTATATTATTGAACGTCTTTTCATATGCTTGTTTGCTATCGGTATATCTTTTTTGGTGAGGTGTCTGTTCAGGTCTGTGGCCCATTTTGTAGCCAGGTTGTTTTTTATTCCTTATTGCTAAGTTTTAAGGGTTCTTCGTATATTTTGAATAACAGTTCTTTCTGAGATATGTCTTCTGCAAATACATTCTCCCAGTCTGTGACTTTTTTTCTCATTCTCTTGATATTGTCTTTTAGCTTATTTCTTTTCTTTTTTTTTTTTTTTTGGTTTGAGAAGGAGTCTTGCTCTGTTGCCCAGGCTGGAGTGCAGTGGTGCGATCTCGGCTCACTGCAAGCTCCGCCTCCTGGGTTCACGCCATTCCCCTGCCTCAGCCTCCGGAGTAGCTGGGACTACAGGCGCCCACCACCACGCCTGGCTAATTTTTTGTATTTTTAGTAGAGACGGGGTTTCACGGTGTTAGCCAAGATGGTCTGGATCTCCTGACCTCGTGATCCGCCCACCTCGGCCTCCAAAAGTGCTGGGATTACAGGCGTGAACCACCGCGCCTGGCCGTCTTAGCTAATTTCTTAAAACACCTACGTAATTAGAAATAACTCTAACCTACAACTGAAAGAGCATAAACTTAGTTTAATTTACCATAGAGGTTTTAAAAGTGGGAAGTAAGTTTTAAAATCCAGTGTTTTGCACAAGGAAGCTGTTTATTTCGTACCTTGACACCCTTGAGCTAACTATTCTTCCTCCTTGATGGAAATGCCATTCTAAGTGTTGAGAGTAGTTGTGACTTGGGATAGTTATACACCAGAGACCTCCTAAATTGCTCCTCTGTCTTTACCCCTGCTGAAGGTTGATAAAAATAGGATGGGACTATGTTGTTCTCTGAAATAGACTTGATGCATTGTGAAATTGACCAGCTTCATTATTATAGAAAAATTTTTCCTATGTAGAAGACCTGCCTGACTTAGAAGTTAAGTATTGACTTGGAGAATACATGTTTCTCATAGCTATAAGAAGAGTTTCATTTTAGGACTAAAAATCTTAATTTGTTACGTATTCTCCTTACTCAAAGGGTCAGGTTTTTGTTTGTTTTAAATTTTAGTTCTCTCTCTCCTGTCACCAAATTCATAATACAGTCACCCCTCCATATTCATGGACTCTTCATGCATTCAGCCAACTGCAGATTGAAAATACAGGGGGAAGAAGGGTAGTTGTGTCTGTACTGAACACGTACAGACTTTTTTCTTGTCATTATTCCCTAAACAATACAGTATCACAATTATTTACATTGTATTAGCTATTAAAAGTAATCTAGAGGTAAAGTAAACAGGAGGGTTTGTGTAAGTTATATGCAAATACTACTTTATATAGGGGACTTGAGCGTCTGTGGATTTTGGTATCTGTAGGAGGTCCTGGAACCAGTCCCCCATAGATACGAGGGACAGCTGTATTTAGTTTCTGGTTCTGTCAACCTTGCCTCATTTTAGAATTTTTCAGGCAAAAATTTGAGTATGTTAGTATCAACTCTGATCGATAGTTTTATTCCATGAGTCTATATTTGAATGAAATGAGTTGGTCACATAGCTTTCTTTAAATTATGTAATCATGGCATACATCCTGCTTATTGATGAAACTACCAGTGACCCCTCTTTATAAGTCATTTTGGTAGAAAATGAGTAGATGAGAGGATGTTAGACAATAACGCTCTTCTTTCTTAACCCCTGGATCACAGAGGTGGGAGAGGCTATGGGGAAGTTTTTGTGTTTTTAACTATGTTCTGCTCTTGCCTTGGATAAAGAAAACTTTCAGACCATTTAGTTTATGATCATTTTTAACATTTCAGAAGTTATTAATTGAGCTAATATTTTTGCTATGCTTCTTTTCTTCTTTGTGTGCATCTCTGGATTTACTTAATATATTTCTCAAATTAGGTTTGCAGTCCTGGGAAGACATTGATAAGCTAAATTCATTTCCCAAACTGGAAGAAGTGAGATTGTTAGGAATTCCTCTTCTGCAGCCTTATACCACTGAGGAGCGAAGGAAATTGGTAATAGCCAGGTCTGTTGTCCTGATTGTTTTGCTTTATTTTTGTGAGGCCTTATTGTTTCATTAAAGTAATAATGCACTATTTAGTGGGAGTGCACTATGAATTTATTCATCCTTTGAGCAGACTGTGCTTGAAGGAGCTGCCTCTGTAGCTTCAAATCCTGCTGAAAAGGAATGCGAGCAGTATGATGAGGAAAACATGAAATGTAGTTGGGCTGCTGACACCACTGAAAAATTTCTCTACAAATCTGTTTTTATGCTTTTTAATACTTAGAATATTTGAAGTCCTGTTTGGGGTCACAAAGTAAAAGTACGTACAGTAGGGAATCATTTCTATTATGGTTGTCCTTATTTTCTCTGTTAACGTATTGATTATTCAGATCGCAAATTCCTGAAACTTGGACTGTTTCATTCGTGGAAAACTTAAGAGAGCAGCATCTGCATTTTCTTCTTGAATGTAGATTGACTTAAATATGACCACCATTATTATCTTCTCTCTAACTCCCCTTACCTTTTGTGTCTCAGCCGCTGCCTCCACATAATTGGGAATTTCCCATGAGTATTTATTTTTGTATGAACCTTTAGCAGAAATAAGATTTGGGCTAAAATGCAAGGGCCATAGAGCTTTGCTTTTTTTCTCTTTGTATACTATACATAGTAGTTTTGAAAGGGGAACTGTAGGCTTTAAGGTTCTCTAAAGAAGAGTGGTTCTTTAAACAGGTTGTTTATCTTTGTGACAAGCTAATGCGTAGCAGATCCTTACTGCTTTGTAGTTGTTAACGTACACATTAATATCTTTCTGAAGAAATAAATGTGAGCATACTTTTCTTTGAAGAAGAATACGTCTTGCAGTAGGTCTTGTGCTTTATTTTCTTTACACAATTCTTTTGCAAATATAATAAGTTAATTCTTGAATTATATAACCCAGTTTTACTGACTACTCTCTAGACTGGGCTGTTTAATATGACAGCCATTAGCTATGTGTAGCTATGAGTACTTGAAGTATGTCTTGTCTGAATTGAAATGTGCTATAAGGGTAAAATAAATACTGGATTTCAAATATTTTATATGGCTAAAAATGTAAATTAGCTCATTTAAAAATATTGATTACATGTTGAAATGTTTATATATTCTGGATACATTGGGTTAAATGAAATATTAAAATTAATTTCATGTGTTTAATTTTTATTTTTTAAAAATGTGGCCATTAAATAATTTAAAATTACATATGTGGCTTCATTATATTAATCTAAGTTGGACAGTGCTGCCTAGAATCTTGTTTTGAAAGGGGAGGTATGATTATGAAAGTTCAGTGTTACGTGAAAGTCAAATTCAATTTTTTTTTTCAGTTTAGACCACTTTAGTTCATGTCAGTAGTTGTATACAAATGGAACTACATCAAATGTGTCCTTTCAAGAAAATGAGACTGGCCCACAAGCCAATTAGTTTCTTTCTAAAGCTAAATATATAAGTATCTTAAAATACGTCTTTATTTTGGTTTTAACTTATAGATTGCCATCAGTATCCAAACTTAATGGCAGCGTTGTTACTGATGGTGAACGAGAAGATTCTGAGAGATTTTTTATTCGTTACTATGTGGATGTTCCACAGGAAGAAGTGCCATTCAGGTAAAAAATTCCTCATTGGCCAAACACTTTAGGCGTGGTGATGACAGTTAAGAACTCTTGTGTTAGAGCAAAATGTAATCATTTGTTATTGGACCCTTCTTAGAGAACTTTGTTAAAAAAAATTTTAAAGAAAAGGAAGAAACACAAGAGCAAACCTATTTTAAAAAAAAATCTACAGCATATTTCTTTTAGCTTTGCACCTGTATTAAGAATGATGGGGTATTTGACAATCCCTGTAGCTCCTGCTGCATACTCCGTATCATTGATTCCTTTTTGATCTTCTTTTTTGGGGTACATTTTTACCTGCCCCTCAAATTAGTCTGTTCATTCATGTTGGATCTGCTTTTAGGATATATTAAGTTCTCCGGTTAGGAAGATTTGGCAAATGTGCAGTAAGTTCACAGAATATGAATATGAGAAAAGGACTAGAAAATAGACTCTTGAGGAAATATTAAAGGAATTAGGATGGTGAATATAAAGAGAAATGCTGAGGGCTAAATTAGTAATTAACTTTAAATATATGAAGAGTTAATAAATGTTGTCTAATGAGGAACTAACTTTAATTCTGTAAATGTAAAAGGAAATGTAGCAGGTACGATATGGGCAAACATACAAGAAAAAAATTACCCCCAAAACAGGTTTCTGGGTATTGGTAACTAGAATTGAAAAAAAGAAAAGTTATGCGCTTTTCTTCCTTAATGACTTTAAGGGTAATATGAATACCCATTTGACTGGAGGAGTTTTAGACAAACAGCCTGAATGTCAGTCACATTAGTTGTTCTTTTGGTTACAAAATGCCTGTGACTTTAATTCATTCTGTGATTCTAATTCATTCTTATTGAATGTGTCTATTTTTCCCCCAAAGTTGTCTCTTGTTTATAGATTTTAAGGGGGTTAACATTCTATAAGTCTCAATCAGTGCCATATAACAAGATTTTGTGGTATTATTAGTAGTGTTTTAAAGCTAAGCATTTAAGAATATTAGATGAATTAAGTAAGATTTTTAAGGTAACTTTTAAAAACTATCTGAGAACAACTAAGTAGGGGAAAATAGATACTACTTTATCATTTAACACAACCTAGGTATATTAGGTTAAACCAGATGAAATTTTTTTTAGATAAAAAAATGCTTTAATATCTGGTTTCATTTGGTCTAATCTAACATATTAATGGATTTGTTAGATTAATAAATAAAATAGCTTTGAGCATAAGTCTGTCATCACGGTTTATTTAACTTCTAGTCTACTACAAAAAGTTTTTTGTATATAGAAAGACACACACGTATACATATATATACATGTACATACATACATGCATACGTACCTACAGTCATCCATTGCTTAATGACAGGGACATGTTCTGAGAAATTTATCGTTAGGTGATTTTATGTTGCGAACATCATAGAGTATACCTACACAAACCTAGGTGGTATAGCCTACTACACACCTAGGCTATATGGTACAGCCTATTACTCTTAGGCTATAAACCTGTACTGCATGTGACTGTAATGAATATTGTAACACAATGGTAAGTATTTGTGTATCTAAATACATCTAAACATACAACAGGTATAGTGATGATATGGTATAAAAGATAAAAACTGCTATGCTTGTCCAGGGCACTTACCATGAAAATCTTGCAGGACTGGAGTTTGTTGTGGAAGAATCAGTGAGTGAGTGGTGAGTGAATGTGGAGGCCTAGGACATTACTGTACACTACTATAGACTTTATCAACACTGTACACTTAGGCTATACTACATTTATACAATTTTTTTCTTTCTTTAATAGTAAATCAACCTTAGCTTAGTTTAACCTTTTTACTTTATAAGCTTTCTAATTTTTTAAAACGTTTTGACTCACATAATAACACCTAGCTTAAAATATAAACACATCGTACAACTGTACAAAAGCATTTTGTTTATATTTTTATTATATAAGCGTTTTTATTTTTTAGATTTTATTTTATTTTTCTACTTTTTAAACTTTTTTTAATTGAAAATGAAGCCACAAACACACACAAAACACTATCCTGATCCTGATGTCAGGATCAATATCAGTATCTTCCACCTTCACATCTGTTCTCACTAGAAGGTTGTCAGGGGCAGGACATATATGGAGTCTTTGTCTCCAATGATAGCAATGCCTTCCTCTGGAATACCTCCTGAAAGACCTGCCCAAGGCTGTTTTACAGTTAATTTCTTTTTCTTATAAGTAGGAGTACACTCTGAAATAACGATAAATAGTATAAGTCCATAAGCCAGTAACATAGTCATTGATTGTCAAGTATTATGTACTGTAAATAATTTTATGTGCTATACATTTATACAGTAGTGTAGTAAGTTTGTTTATACCAGCATCACTCAAATGCTTGAGTGATATGTCATGTTACGATGCTAAGATGTCACTAGGTGACAGGAATTTTTCAGCTGCATTATAATCTTATGGGACCACTGTTGTATATGTGATCCACTGTTGACCAAAATGTCTTCATGTGGCACCTAACTGTACAGTGAATGGTTTTCTGTCCCTGATGGTATAATTATTCTAAGTGCATTTATACTTCTGTACTAGTTGGTATTCTTGAATGGGAGTCATAGAAACCGGTTTTGATTAACTTTAGTCAGGAGAGGAATATATTGAAAGACTATTGGGAAAAGAAAAGAATTGTTAGGTAGGATGGAGAACCAGCTTTAGACAGGAACCAAGGGAGTCAAGGATAGATACAGGATGAACTCTTGTTGTGCTTCATATATTGCTGCTGGCAGTGTCATCTCTAGACACCGCATGCTGGACTTTACCACTGGACACTAGCAGCTACATCATTGGACTTTTTATTCCCTCATGAGTGCTGAAAATAATCTCTCATTGTCCTTTTTTTTCTCCATTTAAAAAATATTTACTAAGTACTTACCATGTGACTAGCAGTGTTGTACGTGCGGTTAGTAGAAGTGAACAAAGTTCCTACCTTCATGGAGCTCATATTCTAATGGATTTTCTCACACACCTTTACTTCATTCCCCAAGAATCAAAAATCTGCATGGGACCAACTGGCTATGTTTAGGACACGTACTCACACCCCATCTCAAGATATAGGGAGGTGGATTATCTGCTCCATTTTAGCTTCTGCAGGTGGGGTAAAATCTTGTTTCCTCTGATCTTGGGACTTTCCCTCAAATAGGAACAATTCAGAAAAACAAATAGTGTGTATTACTGTCTTCTACTAGGACTCTTCAATATCTACACATACATTTTCCCCATTTTTAAAAATTACTACATTTTTAAAAATTATTCTTATCTTCCCTAATGCATTCCTTGCACAAATGAAAATACATTTCTCTCTCCTTAAATGACATAACCTAAGTCTTATGAATTGCTGCATCTAGTTCCCAGTCTTGGATCTTTGGGTGGTATTCATTTATCCTTTATTTCCATATCTTTAAATCTGTTGATTCAGTTGTAAACTTAACTACCCTGGTATATACTGTTTACAGAATAATGGGAAAAATAGAGAAGAAAGAAAAGGAAAGTTAGTTAAAGTTCACAAACAATTACATGAAACAGGAAAGAACAAAATATACATGTAGACTGATGCTCTCATTTTTCTACACTGGGGCTATAATTGGTATTTACGACTTCCCTCTTCCATTATTTGCCTTTGTTTCTTTGCTTGCAACTAACTTTGCCTGCAGATGACTTTGTTGGACAGTGTTCTGTACCTCTTTGTTGGGGGAGAGGGGTGGATCTCAGTCTTTTCTGGTAAAATCTACAATCTTGGTAGTTTTACTTGTGTTGGGTTTTAGTAGTCTTAGATTACTTTTTACCACTAGGCCTGGTAATACCAGCAGATACCACCAGGGTTCCATCCACACTCGTATATTACCCCTCTTGCATTTCTCCTTGACAGTCAAGATTACTTATCTTAGCTGACAAGCTGATTTTTAAGTGGGGATTGTGGGTAGGGGATGACTTTTCCTAGTAATTTGTAGAACTTAAATTCAGTACTTGGAAGTCTCAGCTTCCAGTTGGAATAATTGTTGTAGCACTAGTGCAGACGTGCCTCTCGGGTTCTAAAGCTTCTAAACCTAGAAATATGAAATAAGAGTTTTGCAAGTTAGTCACTGGATGTAATCATGAGCTGTATTGTGTTTTTCACATTTACCCTTGAGTTTGCAGACCTGTCTCCTCTGACAAAGAACAACTGGTATCACTTTTGTTCTTCAAGATGCATACTTACTGAAGAGTTAAATGGGACTATGATAAGGAATCATCATCCAGTTTTTAGTGGTGCAATGTCTTTCTGTTTCCTTTTAGGGAAGTGGTGTTGCTTTTGCTTCGGTGCTTTTCTTGAAACGGATTCATAGACCACCTGTTTATTCTAATCCTAAAGACTCCATGACCAATTAGCTATTGCAAAAGATTCATGCATTTGGACTATTTTACTTGCTGTTCTGGCCTTGCTATTTATGTGATTATACCTACTTTCCCATGCACTAGTGGTTCAATGCCACTGCTTGGTTTCTCCCATCCTTCATTAAATTGAAATGGGCAACCTGATTTCAGTGTCTCTTATCTGCATCCCTGACCTATAAAGTGTTTTCAGATGTATGGGTGCTCTACTTCCTACTATATTTTCAAGGTCTTAGAGTAGGAAATATCTTCTGGGTCCTTTTAGGAATGGAGAAGAGGTAGGACATGAGTGACACAATAATAATAATAATCTCCATTATCATACTTATTTTCTTTCTTTTTTCTTTTTCTTTTTTTTGTGGCGAAGTCTTGCTCTGTCACCCAGGCTGGAGGGCAGTGGTGCGTTCTTGGCTCACTGCAAGCTCTGCCTCCCGAGTTCACTCCATTCTCCTGCCTCAACCTCCCGAGTAGCTGGTACTACAGGCGCCCGTCACAACGCCCGGCTAATTTTTTTGTATTTTTAGTAGAGACGGGGTTTCACCATGTTAGCCAGGATGGTCTCGATCTCCTGACTTCGTGATCCGCCCGCCTCA